TATACGGTTTGGTCACTCGTTATGGTGCGCAAACCAGTTATAAGCACAAGAGGTTAAGTTCTCGCGATACTGGAGGAAATAATGAAACTCTCACTCTGCTCTAGGCAAAATCACGATCAATGGTGTGGTCTCGTTTCATTGCCAGCAACAAACACGAATCTTCTTTCACATAGGAAAACTATTCTGTTACTCCCTGTAAACGTAAATTGTTTCCCCGTCCCCGCGAAATTGCATAATGCAACGCGGATGGATTTTTGATCTATACCGAGCTTTCGTTACGCGCGGCTTTCGTTTTTTTTTTTTTTTTTTTTTTTTCTTTATTGGGAAACGTATTATCGGTATATAAAACGGCGAAGGTTTCTTTTTTTTTTTTTTTCTTTTGTTTTTTTATATCGGGGACACGTCGGTCGTGTGTATCTTGTTTTTGCCTTTTGCCGTTTGATGTATCGCGCCGTATCCGAAACGTAAAAAGAAAGGACGAAGCCGCGACGCTATAAATGGAATAGCCGCGTACAAAAAAACGTTAGAGTGAAAAAAATTGCCCCGTGAATAAAACGAACTCGTCTATTAACATGTAGATTTTTATCGAACCGGGACAGTTATAGGTGATCGCGTGAAACGTATTGCTTTAATGCATGTCGTTGTGGCAGAGTGGATGGCATTTTGTTTTCGTTTCTTTTTTTCTTTTTGGTTTTTCATCGAAACTCGAGTTGCCTTTAGTGTTAGCCGGGGCAATCCTCTTTTGCCCGGGTACTTTAATTCCGTTGCTTTGGAAATATTTCTACCACTATTTCTATATATATCGTCGTAGTGATAGAAATGTGTGTGTATGTGTGTGTGCTATATATAGTGTGTTTCTGCATAACGCGCGAACGGGCGAAATAGAATTTCGTTCACGAAATATTGGCAGTCTCCATTTTCGTCACTAGATAAAACGTTCCGAAGCGTCGAAATACGTTGGCGCGGGATTGTAATCGGGTTTTGTTCTCTCCCATTTCACGCGTGACGAGATTACACGTTCTCGCGCGACGAAATCCCCGGCAAACGGCCCTATTGTAATTTAAAGAAACCTATAATTGCCACGTGCTGCGGGAACAGGTACAGCTAGGCCTCAGTTAACACGTTCCGTGCCATGTGTACCACCGGTGGTACACGTTAAACTT